AATAATAAATTTTATATTGGTGAGAATAATAAATTTTAAAAAGTAATGATGTGATTATAAATTTTATTTACATATGAAACAAATGGTTAGTAGATATAAATGTTGGGTTGTTTTAACAAAATATAAACTCATGGATCAATTATTGTGTTAAAATATCTCAAATCATGATATGGAATCACATGGTGATTTCATATCATGGTTTTTGGAGAATATGGTATCACCTCTCATGATATGGAATCAGCGTAAAATCACATGTCCAAACACTGATTCCATCTCACGACACCATATCGTGATATGGTATCGCATGGCCAAACGCCTACTTAATTATTAAAATTATCTCACTAGTTAGGAAATGAATAGGATATTAGTATTTCCTTCATTCATTGTCAACTAAATATTTAAATATATTTTTACTTTTACTTGTCACTTTAGCATATATTTTTATTTTAAAAAAAAAAAAAAAATCAAGTTTTATCGTCAACGTTAATTATTTTTTCCTCAAAATTTGAGACTATAATATTATAAGTAAAATACTTATATTAATCGTTATTTTTTTTAAAAGACATGCAAAATTTAAAATGAGCAATTAAAATTGTACAAAAAACATTTAATAATAAAAATAAAATAGATATTAAAATGAACATATATATATATATATATATATAGATAGATAGATAGATAGATAGATAGATAGATAGATAGATAAGTAAAAATAGAGAGATTAATAAAAGAACCCGCAAAAGGCACAAATTAGTGGTAGGTGGAGAGGCTGAAACTAAAAAGAAAGATATATAAAAATAGAGTAATAGGATTCTAAAAGGTATGTAAAAACTAATATGTATGAGAAAATGATCAAAATGGTCCTTCATAAGGGTTGCTTTATTCTGATCCTTAATATATTTCACATGATCTATATGGTCCTTAATGTATATGAAAGGATGGTCATTTTAGTCCATTAATCCTAAAACTAACCAAAAATTTCTGATTTCTTCTTCTTCTACACAAGTTTCTTCGTGTACTTTACTGGTGTTGAGTGGTTCGCTGACACCAGCGTTTTGGGTATCAATACACTGGTGATTGAGATCATTCTATCCTGGGAGGATATATTCCAAATCATTCATCGGATACTAGAGGAGAATAATTTCCTTAAGGAGACACTGTGCATTCAGTGGGCTTGATCTTTTCGTTCTGTTTTTCCAGATTCTAGTATGTTTTACAGATTTTAGTTTTCTTGTTGAATTAGTTTATGTTCATCTGTTGCTTCACTGATTCGAATAAACTTTGATAACTTCGTATTTCTGCAAAGTTTGTTGAATTGCTGATAACAGACTATACTACAGAATCTTAATGGCTTATTTTATCCGCAGGTCAGCATTAGTGTGCTTCGCATTCATTTGAGTAGTACTTTCTGGAAAGGGTTGAGGTCCTGAAGTTACTCTTTCGATTGTTTGAACCTTCATAAATTCCTTCAAATCCTGAGTTGTGGTAATCATATTGGTATTATCGTTGCGTTATGTTGAAATATGATTGGGCCTGAGGTCTTGGTCAAGGACCAGTTGGATTTCAGGTTAGTTTTCTATGCTCTGGAGCACAGTGATTTCGATTATGTGCTTTAGGTTGCTTCATAACTCCATTTGAAATTACTCTGATTGATCACTCCAATTCCTTTTCGAGTTGTTACATGTATAGCCTCAAAGTGGAGACAATCTTCTTACCAAGCTTTGAATTCTGCTGCACCATAATTCTTCATAGATTAATAAACTCCAAACACCTATATCAAAAGCTCAATGTGCAATTTGCGTGAAATCTAATTTTCAACTTCAAACTAGTAAGCAAGATTCCATAAATACGTAAACATGGTGGGACAAAACAAAAGAGGTAAATGAAAGGTACAGAAGATAGTCTTTTTTTTATTATTATTGTTGAAACCAAGTACAAATGGAAGAATAAACAGCCTAATGAAAGGGGCATTACTTGGAGTCTTGTCATAATAAGAAACAAGGACTATGTACTGAATAATTAGACAAAGTAGAACAATAATCCTTCTTCAATAAAGAAGCAATATATACAAATCATTAATCAACATCTTATAATCTTGATAATGCATTTATCTGTCTCTACACCTTTCTGCTGGAAAATGAGGTTTGTTAATCAATGTACCAATTCACGTCCTCTGTTGGCGCTGCTCTTTCACCTCATTCCACTGTATTGGTGCTTGTAGAATTCAAGAACTGCTCTTCTTTCCTCCATTTCCGAAGGCCCCAATAGGCTGTGCAAGAATGCGCTTCATTGCCTTCACTCCCAGTGGGTTCCCCTTGCTCTGTATCAACAAAAGCAATAGAGTAAGTAGAGAAAAAACTCTGGTACAAATTCTTTACGGTGTCTGTGTATAGGAGAGTTTGAACTACTTTGTAGAAATGACAAATTCAAATTACTTACCATTGAGCAGGTGCCTTGGCGAACATTGCAGACAGGATAGTCGTGTGGGCAGCAACTGGAGTGGTCTTCACAGCAAGTGGCTCCTTCAAGTGGGCAGCATCCCCAAGAGAAGCAAGACCTGCGGAACTCGAGGACACAGCAGCAAGTGGTGCCGACAGGGCATTGAGAATATTCATCACACTCTGTAGGTGGCTTGACTGGAGATGGAGGAGATGGAGCGGGTTTAGGAGGATTTGCGCCTGTCTTTACTGGATATGAAGGCTCTGTGGCTAAACCACACAAGCCACTAGAGCTGGCAACGTTACGTTGGACTCTGAGGTAGCCCTTCTCTCCCCATTTAGCTCCCCATGAGTTCCTAACAATCCAATAATCCATGCCATTCTCAGTACCATATCCAGCAGCAACTACACCATGATCCACTGCAGTACCACATTTTCCAGTAAAGATACCCTGAAATTACAAGTAGGATAATCGCGTGAATAATTGGATCTGATCATTGTTATATCATAGTAATCGACCTACAATTATAAGTATGTCAACTAATATATCTTTGGTCGAAAAAAACTACACGTCATTGATCAAAAGGCAACATTTTACTGGAAAGACATTAACTTAGATTAGGGTAATACGAGAATAGAAACATACAGATTTGTAGTGCTGGAAGTCTCTGCCACCAGCTTCAATTGCAATGCTCACAGGTTGATGTGCAACAGCCTTTTGTAGCGCCTTTTCGTTATTAACAGGAACATCTTCATAGCTATCTATTTTAACAACCTTGGCATTTTTCTGCATCACAAACAAAATATGTTGCCACTTATTAGTCTAAATTTAACATTGGTATTTAGTTAAGAGTGTAATTGAAATCAAGAATGTTATACTGACCCTATATTGGTCGCATACGTCATTACGTTCTTTGTAAGGGTAGTCTTCTTCAGTGTCAATTCCTCCATTATTGATGACGAATTCAAAGGCATAGTCCATAAGACCACCATCGCAACCTTGATTGTACGACTTATCACAATCCACCAACTCTTGCTCTGATAGTGATATCAAATTCCCGGTTACTATCGCATTTATTGATTCCATGGCAGCAACGGCAGAGAATGCCCAACAACTCCCTGGTTCATTTAGAACAAAAATATTCAGCCATACGCCAAATTTATTGAATAGAACTATACAAATGTTTTGCCATTTTTTTATGGTTGGGGCACATAATTTAGTGGTAGTTTAGCAGTAAAATTGTTATATCACAATTCACATGGGTCATTTGGTAGCTGGTTAGAATTCATAACTCGCAAATACATTGCTCATTCGCCCGATACATAATTATAAACCAGGTTCATACTGATTTAGATTTAAAATAATTGAGATTATGTATTAACAATAACATTTGTACCAGATACATCATATACAAATAAAGTTGTAATGTATCTGATAGAGGAAGAGTGATGTATCTGGTTGTTAAGAGAGAAGAAAAAAGGGGACTTTTGTAATTAATTCAATTGGTAGGAATTATTAGAGATTATGTTATCTTCAGTTGTGTAAGTATGTAATTTTTCTTTATTGTATACAACTACAAGGATATGCATAACATAAAATAATATATAAATCTCCTAATTCTATTTTATACATGTATTAGTTATATAGATTTTTAACATAATAATATTTTTAATAAATACGACAAGTATTTTAAGAAGAGCAAGCATCTACTAAAATCAAGACATGTTGGAGGCATCATAGAATTTTAAAACATATTTCAAACTTGTCAAAAAGCTTCAAGATGCCAAAAGAAACAAATTAGTTTGCCAAATGAATAACATTTGAAATCGTGTTCCCTTGTTTTTTTGTTGATATTTTTATAATTTTACAATGCACGTCAATGTCATATGGTATATTTATAAGATGGATGAAAGTGACATTATTGGGTCACTTCATGTAAAGTTTATATCGATTTGCAAATTAAATATAGCATATATTATATTCTATTAACATCAATCATTGAGCTTTTCCATAATTATCAAGTTCCGTTGTTTAAACTTTTTCACCATAATTATCTGTTGTGTTCATATTTGACACGGAAAAAAATTAGGATTTTTTTTTTTTTTTAGAACAAACAATCATATTCTAATACTTCAATTTATTTATTTGATTTGACTTTCTTGTAATTAGTTGTTATGCTATTATTATAATTTAACTTATTGTGAACAAGTAATTTTTTGATTTCTCACCCGGGTGTCTGGAGTTCATATTGGAACTCTAAACACACAACCCTCAAGGAACATATTTAACCCCTTAACCATTAGATTAAACTTTTCACTTGTATCAAAAGGTATCAATACTGTTATATATATTTATTAAATCAAATTTTGACCTTTATATACAATGTAATTTTTACTTGACACCCCTTGATACAGGGTAGGTCCGCCCCGATTAATCGGTAGTAAAGTGATTAATATGTAGTAAAGTATTGTGTTGTTTAGTTTTCCATAATACAGGTAATTTTAATATTTTCCTCCTATAATCTTGCTCTTCGATTGTTATTACTATCTCTTTGTATTTCAATAATTGTACAATTATCACGGAATTTTGTTGTAGTCAGTGTTTCTTTTCAGGATATTTTATCATGTTATCTATATAATATTTTGCTATAATTTCTTCACTTCTATTATTTCTTTTTCGATCTGCTTCGATATGTCCTTTCTTGAGCAAATATCTATCAGATATAGTTTTTTCAGTTCTATTATTTAGTTTTCGATATCCTTGTAAGACTAAAATTTATGTATTACTCTAAATTCTAGATATACCAAAGACAGATCTAGAGAATAGTGAAGGTTCATCTTAACTCCATAAAAAAATTATGAGTTGACTTATAGATCAAGAGGTTCAAAATTCATCTTACGTTTTCAAGTTAGTATATCTATCACTGTTGTATACCCCACTTATAGATTAAACTGAGTATGTTATTATCCTATACGTACTATATATTATGCTTCGATATTTGATAAATTTAGATTTATAACCAAATAGTAATAGCAAAATTAACTTACCACAGCTTCCTTGATCCTTCACACCAACAAGCACACCTTTATCTCTCCAGTCAACTGATTCCGGCAAGCTATCCCCAACTTTAGGAAGATACCGATCACTTTTGTTCTTCGACAACTTCCTCCGGTCACCGGAACTCTTAGTGCCCAAGTAAATCGACCTGTACTCCTCATTAGTCAGATCGGCGAATTTCGTCAATCCGAGCTTATAACTCTGATTCGGAACAGAGTTCTGTTCGTCTATATATTTCAAGTTATCCTTGAAGATCTGGAATCTCTTATCCTTTTCTCCTAAAGCGTTGTACGATTTTCCGTGCTCAATTAGCCAGGACTCGTACAACGCCGAAACTTCATCGTCGGAACGATGGTGAATATGAGTCTCGTCGTAGCTAATAATTGACATGTCGGAAGCGGAGGATAAGGTGGAGAAGATAAGCATGAGAAGTAGGGATATGGTGAGAGTTGAGCTGTGAGCTGCCATGATAGGTTGATGTTTTTTTTTTGTTTCCCTGTATTGTTGGGGAAGAAGGGGATTGGGGAAAATGTAGAGAAGGTAGAGTGTTATAAAGGGAAAGTGAAGGGGTATTTTTGGAAATGTAGAAGTGTGTAGGAGAAAAGATGGAAATGGAAAGAACAAAGGACAAATTTAGTTACTCAATTCACTTTGAATTCAAATTTAATTGAACTCTAACACGAAATCAAATTTAACCAAAACATATACTTAATATTTCCTTTGTTCATGTTTACTAAATCATATTTAATTTAACATATCATTTAAGAAGTAATAAGTAAAATGATAATTTTACAATATAATTACTCTTAATTATTACAAATTATCTCATCAGTTAGGAAATAATTAGTATTTCCTTCATTCATTTTTGTTTGTCAACTACATATTTAAATATATTTTTATTTGTCACTTTAGCATATTAAAAAAAAATTCAAGTTTTATCCTCAATATTAATTATCTTTTCCTCAAAATTTGAAGCTATACATCAATTAATATGAATATTATGAGCAAAATATTCATATTAATTGTTATTTTTTAAAGACACACAAATTTTAAAGTGAATAATTAAAATTGTACAAAAAAACACTTAATAATAAAAAAATAAAATAGATATTAAAATGAACATATATTTTTTATATATACTACTAATAGATAAGTAAAAATAAAGGGATAAGGGTCTGAAAAATACCCCAACTTTGGTTGGATTTGCTGTTGCGATACTAAACTTTCATGAGGACCTATTACCTCCCTAGACTATTTAATACCGTATTTTAAACATATATATTTGCCCACGTGGACATAAAAAATAATGTAAAATTATAAATAGTAATGTGTCCACGTGGGCACATATATACCTTTAAAATACACTATTAAATAAGAGAGAGAAGTGATTAATAAAAGAACCCTCAAAAGGCACAAATTAGTGGTAGGTGGAGAGGCTGAAACAAGAAAGAAAGATATATAAAAATAAAGTAACAAGTAGAATATAATAAATTATTTTACATTCATACAAATATGATTTATTTTGAATTAACTATATCGTATAAATTAGAACAAAGAAAGTAATCAATTTATCCGAATAAATTATAATTTACTCTTAATACAAAGTGCAATTATAATATCTTGGAAAGTGAAGCTTTAGGTAGTTGAAAACAAAAAATATATGTGATTTGTTTTGAATTAACTATATCGTATAAACTAGAACAAAGAAAGTAATCAATTTATCCTAACAAATTATAATTTACTCTTAAATACAAAGTGCAATTATAATATCTTGGAAAGTGAAGCTTTAGGTAGTTGAAAACAAAAAATATTTTTTTAAAAATAAATAATTTGCTCTTTTTATATATGAGGAATAATAAATAAAACTTTTCTAAAATGTGATAATTAAATATGGGAGTTGAGATTCTGATATTTGTCCAAGTAGTGAGAATGTAGATTTTTAAAATAAGATTCTTATCTACTGTTGCGCGGTATCAAAGTAAGACACGTTGATTGGATAAGAAAAGACTGAATGGGCCTTGTTGTTCTCTACTGTAGGACCCATAAGCCTAACTTTTCCTACTATAATTTAATCTTTTTTCCGTAAAATCTTAGCAGCTCAGTTGTTTAATTATCTTAGATGGAGTTTGATTCTCATTTTGATTATCTTAAGAAGAGTTCGATTCTCATTTTGTAATTATTCTCTTCTATTTCTTTTTTCATTTCCTCGATATAAGTAAAGGTATATGTATTGACTTATTCAGTAGGACTACATTGAGTATGTTGTTATTATATTAAAAAAAGGAAAAAAGGTTTGAAAAATACTTTAACTTTGTCCGAAATTGTTGTTACGATACCAAACTTTATGAAGGACCTTTTACCCCCTGCACTATTTCATAGTGTATTTTAAAGGTGTATATGTGCCCACGTGGACACGTTACTATTTATAATGATGCAGTATTTATGATGTCCACGTGGGCACATATATACCTTTAAAATATACTATTAAATAGTGCAGGGGTAAAAGGTCTTTTCCAAAGTTCGATATTGTTACAGCAATTTCGATCAAAGTTCGAATATATTTCAAACTTTTTTCCTTAAAAAATAAAATAGAATTGGATGTGTGAGCTAAGTTAATGAGAGATTGTTTGATATAAACATAATTGTTTTTATTTTAAAAAGTCATCTTCAAAAAGTTAATTTCTACTATTTTTTTGTAAAAACTTATATGTAACAACAGAAAAATAGCAAAAGTGTTGTAAAACAAGAGGAAAATGCAAGAATACTTAAACAAGAAAGTAAGGCAAAAGTGTGATGGAAAGTATAAAGTTGAGAGCCTTATTTTAATCTCTTCAATTGTGTATTTCTTAAGGGTGAAGAAGACCCTTTTATAAGAGGTAAAAATCATTCGTTTACTACCTTAACCAAAATACGTTAGTAATCTTTAATTCTTACATTAAATTAATACATGCATTACGTTAGGTTGATGAAAAGAAACATCCATATTAAATGGATTTGTAACACTCCCCCTTGGATGTTTATAGATAATGTGCCTCGTTAAAACCATACTAGAAAAAACCCAGTGGGAAAAATCCTAGTGAAGGAAAAAGAGTACACACATCTTGTAATACGCCTTGAGTGTTGCCTCATTAAAAACCTTACCAGGAAAACCCAATGGTACAAAACCTTGGCTAAGGGAAAAAGAGTACAACGCGTATTTTACTCCCCATGATGAAAAATTTATTTGATATCTTGGAGATGACGCATTCCAATCTTATATCTTAGCTTCTCAAATATTGACGTTGGCAATGCCTTAGTGAATAAATCTGCAAGATTATCACTCGAACGAATCTGTTAAACATTTATCTCACCATTTTTGTTGAAGATCATGTGTGAAAAAGAACTTAGGTGAAATATGTTTTGTTCGGTCTCCTTTGATATATCCTCCCTTTAATTGAGCTATGCAAGCAGCATTATATTCATACAATATTGTTGGAGTCTTTGTTTGCACAGAAAGACCGCATAATTGCAAAATGTGTTGAGTCATTGATCTCAACCATACACATTCTCGACTAGCTTCATGAATGGCTATTATCTCTGCATGATTTGAAGAAGTAGCAACTATTGTTTGCTTCATCGAACGCCATTATATAGCTGTACCTCCGTATGTTAATAAATAGCCTGTCTGAGATCGAGCTTTCTGTGGGTCAGACAAATAGCCAGAATCTGTATAACCGATCAATTCTGACTTGGATGCATTAGAATACAACAATCCCATATCAATTGTTCCTTGAAGATATCTGAATATATGCTTAACACATTTCCAATGTCTTCTTGTTGGGCATGAGCTGAATCTCGCCAATAAACTTACTGTGAAACAAATAGCTGACCGGGTATTGTTGGCTAGGTACATTAGTGCCCCAATAGCACTAAGATATGGTGTTTCATCACCAAGAATCTCTTCATCATTTTCTTGAGGTCGGAATAGATCTTTATTTATATCGAGAGATCTCACAACCATCGGGGTACTCAATGGGTGTGATTTATCCATGTAAAATCGCTTCAAAACCTTTTATGTATATGTTGATTGATGGATAAATATTCCACTTTTCAAATGTTCAATCTGAAGGCCAAGACAAAATTTTGTCTTTCCAGGATCTTTCATTTCAAATTCTTTCTTCAAACACTCAGCGGCTTTTGAAAGCTCTGTAGGAGTTCCAATGATGTTCAAGTCATCAACATAAACAAATATTATTACAAATTCAGATTGTGACCTTCGTATAAAAATACAAAGACAAATAGGGTCATTCTTATACCCCTCTTTTAGCAAATATTCGCTAAGATAATTATACCACATTCGCCCTGATTGTTTCAATCCATATAAGAATTTCTGAAGCTTTATTGAACAACTTTCTTTTGAATTTTCATATGCTTCAGGCACTTTGAGTGCTTCAGGGATTTTCATAAAAATATTGTGGTCTAGTGAGCCATATAAATAGACTGTGACAACATCCATTAGATGCATTTCAAGCTTTTCATGAACTGTCATATTTATTAGATACCTGAAGGTAATTGCATCTACCACAGGAGAATATGTCTCCTCATAATCAATGTCAGGCCTTTGCGAAAATCCTTGTGCCACAAGTCGTGCTTTATATCTTACGACTTTACTATTTTCATTGCGTTTTCACACAAAAACCCACTTGTACCCAACTGGCTTGACACCTTCAAGGGTTCAAACTATTGGTCCAAAAACTTCACATTTTTCAAGTGAAGCCAATTCTGTTTGAATTGCTTCCTTCCATTTTGACCAATCATTTCTCTGTCTACATTCATTGACAAATCTTGGCTCTAAATCCTTTTCTTGTTGCATTATTTCAACTGCAACATTATAGGCAAAAATATTATCCACCACAATATTATTTCGATTCCACATTTTTCTCGTCGAGACATAATTTATAGAGATTCCCTCATTCTCATTATTTTCAGGTACATGGACCTCATCTGTGGTGTCTTCATTTATTATGTCTTGGAGCTCTTCATGAGCAATTGCCTCTATATTATGATCAT